GACATGTGGGCAAGCATTGATTGGATTCAGTTGGACCTCTATAGTTCAATATGAAATGACGGAGGCTTAAGATTGTAAGAATAAGGGACAAGGATGAGCTTATGAAGTATGACATAGTGTACCCAATTAAAAGAAGAATATTATGCTTAGTATATCAATTTATTGATCACAACAAACAATAGTTTAATCAAAAATCGAATAAATTGAGAGGAAAAAGTTTGATTATTTAATTATTTAACATACTTGAATTTATTTAACCAATTCAAGTTTCATTATCTTTTTCTCTTATCTAGGATAATTTCAACGTGATAAACATGAAAGCCAAGAAATAAAAGAAAAATATTTAGGCACACAATGAGTAGGTTTGTTTTTCAATTTAATATATGTTTTCTAAAACTTAGAATATTACCAAAACTATTCATTGTATTTTATACCCAAGGATTAGAGACTTTTCAATTATATTGAAATATGTGAATCATATTGAGTCAATTGACATGATAAATATACCCAAGGATTTTAGGTATGCTGACATCCTACTAGTATATTGAGACTAAATGTAAGTTACCTTAAATTAATTATTAATATAGTGTAAGGTTAATAACATGTATATTAGTGTTTTGCATCATGGGAGGCCAAGTGAAACAAATGTAAGTGGCCGATACAATAGTACCAAAATACAAGCAACAAATTAGAGACATTTCAATCAACAAGATTTGACATAAAAAGTGTAACGGTTCCAGAAATTAAAAAGAAATGTATAAATTTATTCTAAGTGCGGAAGCGAAATAAAATAGATTATGATTAACATCCCTTACACAATGACCAAAACGAATTAAACGTATGAAAGAATAAACTAACTAAAGAAAATACTATGAATGAATACTATAAGGAAAACTAATAAATTCTCATGCTTCTACTCGCCGTCTTCCTGCAGAACCGGCTCGGGAACCAAGTCATCTTGATCTGAAATGGTTAAGTAAGGAATGAGCTACACTAGCCTAGTAAAGACATCACACTATCTCACTGTCACATAAGT